AATTTGTACATAAGTTACATCAAATTTATATTTGAGGGTTGAATTGCCCCCCTATTCATAAAAAAGCCTCGATACCAAATACAAACACAACCTAACACCGAACATTTTACAGCATTATTTTCACCAAAATAGTTTCCTTTTATTCATTAAGAAACGACAAACAAATATCTAATTTATTACATGACCCGTGAACTCGACGATTATCTATCCAAATATCGAAATCTCAAAAATTCAATCAACCTGAATAAAAAGACAAAAGAGCTACAATATATAAACCCGTGACACACACCATCACATACCTATAATAAATACGAACGAACTTTAAGCACAAAATGCACGTCAACACATATATCAGTAACTCAAAATCTTGCACTATAAAGTTAGCCAGCTAGCAAAGAAACCCTTATTAGCATATCCTAGAACCAAACCCAGTAGAAGAAATAGCATCATCACCCAAAAGACTCTGCAATATGTAATTAAAGAGACACGATCATATGAAAGTCACACTTGTTTTATTTGGTGCAAAGTTCACGTGCAACACCGAGCCTTGAGTTGGGGACGTCGAAGAGCACACGGTGGTTTTGTTGTTGCATTTTGGCTATGACGTTGAGCACTGAATTGACGTTATCTGGAGCTGAAGCCATGGCCAAGCATGTGGTGCTTCCTGCAGAACTGTGTATGAGAATGTTGTCCTGTGGCAGGGTTACGTTCATGCCTGAGAACATGAATGTTATGGTGGGTGCAACTATCGGAACTGTGTAGCACGTGTCAAACCCTCCAAGGGATGTCACCGTTAGGTTTGCCTTTCCCCCCACTCGCCGCCGGAACTCGTCCCGGACTGCCACATACGCCGGCGCAACTAGCCGGCTGAACACCGTGCCTGCATGTTAACCAAAAATATAAAAAACTTGACCATCTTCTAACTTAGTGTTTTATAAATAAGTGTATTTCATTTTGTTTGTATTTTAGTTGAATAAGAAAAGGCAGAAGGCATTACCAGAATCAAAGATGGTGCCGGCTCCGGTGACCGGATTGAAAGCCAAGGCCTCCTGAGGAATGTCGACGACTTTCCGGCCGACCCTAATCGCAACCAAGTTGACATAATAGAGTGAAGATCTTCTAGGATTCTTGAGAAGAGGGGTGTACTTGATCCTAATGGGCTGGGCCACAGGCCCAAGTCTGAGTGAGCCAGAGAAGTTGAGTGATTTGAAGCTGGGCAAGCAGTAAGAGAAGGTGGACTGATAGAGGTTCTGGGTCTGGGACAGCAAAGACAATGGGCCTCGGCCCAAGCCCAAAAGCCCCTGAGGTGGTGTACTGGGCCCAGTAGTCTTTTGAACACATCCGAAGGTGTAGCCAGGAATAGGGTCAGTGGCTAGAGTAACCGTGTCTTGGACCAGGTTAGCACCAATGGTGGAGCTACCATAAGTGAAGTTGAAGCTGCAGGAGCTGCTTCCACAACTAGGGTTAGGCACCTGAAAACGTTCACATCACAAAGTCATATTATACAAGGGAATTATATTTTAATTATTTCATATATTTGAGTATTTTTAAGTTAAGAAAGTTTTCTTTTGAAGGAATGTTGAACTAAGATTGTTTTAATTATTTAAAAATATTACAGCATCTGATTAAAATAATATAAGAAGGTACAGTTTGAAAGATTGAATGTGCCTAGGAAAAGGTTGGTTTAGCAGAAAAAAACAAGTCTCGTGAACCCTTCCTTGTCTGGGGCACACAGATTTCAAAATTTTTAGAATTTGGGATGGGAAAAAAGGTCAGTAAGTCAACCCCACAAGCTAAGGGGCAAGGGAATTCATGTGTCTATGTGATGATGATAGCCAAGAGAATCATTAGACTCTCTTTCTCCTTCCAAGTCAAGAAAATGAAAAAGACTAATCACACAATATCAATCTGGGCCATGCATGCTTATGTTTTAATCAATTATCACAATTTTCTATGTGCTGTCCTCTACTCCAGTGGGAAAAGGGTCACGAGATTCTCAGAAAAAACACCATTAAGTAACACAGTGAAGGAAAAATACGAATATCACATGATGTTTGTTATAAATAAAGTAATTATTTCTAATAAAGTGAGTGTCCAAAAATCACTGCTCTGATTCTTTTAAAGTTTTTAATGATTCTTTTCTGTTAAACATCTCATCACCAATTCTTTTTTCCATTATTATACAAAGTTGATAGAAAACATAACGAGTTAATGAATCATCTCAACCAATACTAAGGTAAAATGAATTTAGATCTTGGTATGCTGTGTTTGTTTTTTCTCTTTGGTTAATTGTGCCTCAGAGACAAAGCACGAATGCTACATTTTAAATAGTGATAGCAATGGGGACCAACAATAAGCAGGACTACGTGTTAAATGCCTTTATGCATTGTTTATACTGACCCTTTGGAATATTATGTTATAAACATTAGATTGCCATGGTTTTATAAGCAGTTTTGCAGAAAACAAAATAAAAAAGTCTTGTAGATTTAAAAAAACTGAGTAAATGGCAGTGTAATTTAGTGAAGAAAAGATGATGATGAGATTGAGAAAATGTGAAGGAGATGGTTAACCTGGTTGCATTGAGGAGCACCACAGTTAAGATTCTTGAAGGAGGTGGACTTTTCAGGAGAAAACAAGGTTGATGTGCAGCCATCACAGGCAGTGCAAGGAATCCAAGCGGCATCATTGCTGGTGTCCATGGCCAAGAGCAAGGTCTGAGGTGGGGTACCTATTTTGGCTCTCACAATGTAAGTTGGGCTCTGAATAATCTGTCTGCCTGAGGCAATAGGCACCACTGACCTCCCAGCCACCAAGCTAGCCAGAAACTGCAGCCTAGCTTGGTCCTTGGCCTGCAGTTGGAGGACACTCTCTTCCCATGAAAGTGCCTTTGATGGCCTGAATGGAGAACAAGGGCTGAACACATGGAAAACTTGCAGGGTTGAGCCATGCTCTTGTATGTCACATTTGGGGTTCTGCCCTTGGACTAGGGAGAAGACTAGGAACAGGAATAAAGGAGAGAGTGAGAGTGAGAATGAGAGTGTTCTTTCCATGGCTGTTGATTTGCTGGTGTGATTTTGCTGCTTTCGTTTGAGTCCTTTATATAGTAAAAAGGCAAAAAAAAAATGAACTTTTTTATTTTTTATTTTTGTATTTAAGGGAAAAGATTATTTTGGGGTTTGTAGGTGAGAAAGGGGTATGGGTCACTATACTTAGTGGTATTAACACTGTGAGTTATTTAGAAGTAAGTGGGAGATAACAGAGTGTACTCCATTTGGTTTTGTAGCCTACTCTGCTTATTTCCTGTATCACAATTTCAATATGGAAAATACACATCTTTCACTATTTTTGACCTAAAGAAACCTTTTTTAACAACTCACTTGTAATTTTACATCAATTTTTTCATTTGGGCAAGAAAAAGGGTAGGTTAAGGAAGAAAAGCTTTTGGCTACAACGCTTTTCAATGATGCAGAATTATTAGGGTTCATCCATTTGGGACAAATCATGTAGCTATGAGAAATAAATGTTCAATAATAGTGTGATTTTGCAGCTGTGGGGATGCTACTGTGGTAGAATGTAAAACAAATAAAGGCATGCATAATTGAAAAGTTATGGGTTGAGGAAAGGTGTTGTCTTTCACAAGCCAAAGTGAAGTGCTATTTGGTTGTTAAGGCAAGAAAGGATGGTGCAAATGTGGGGGCATGGAAGTACCATAATTCACACTATCTAGATTGAACTTTGAACACTTTTTCAGAATATCCATTATTTATTTCTCCTCAAAATTTGAAATGCAAGAGAGAATGGTTTTCAAGATTTGGAACAAAGAACACAGATCGGGTAATTAATTTCTTGCAGAAAAGACAAAGCAAGCATAGCACCAAACCAGAAACCGTGATTTCAGCTGAATTGTTGTGCCATTTTACTCCATAGTTGGATTTACCTTTTCACGGGTTGTGTTGTATATTTTTTTCTTATCTANAAGGCGGACGTCCACTTCTTGGGCGGTCGTCCACTCTTTGGGCGGACGCCCAGCTCTTGGGCGGACGTTCTACTTTGGGTAGACGTCCTCTATCAGTACATATGGCGCCGTCTATGTGGGCGTCCTTCCGTACGGCATCCGGCACCTCTGGTACACTAATGTTAACAATTTGATATATTTGTGACTTGAGTTTAACCTACATAAGGCATTAACATTATTTTAACCCAAAATCTTGAGACATTAGCCCAAACAGAAGTACACTATAAGAAACGGTAGCAACAATGGTGCCACTACTGCGTACACTATGCCGATTATAACTGAGAGAGAGAGAGACTAAAGGGATTATTCTAAAGTAAGGAAATGAATAAAGGTAAGGACTTGTCTCTTTTTGAGAGCCATAAACACGAGACTTCAAAATATCCCAAATTAGCATGCCAGGCTGGAGAACCTCCAAAGAAAATCCAGAGAGACCATCTGTCAAGATGTATGTCACAAAGAAATCTGCCTACAACGAGTACAGAAGAAAGAAGTCAAACTCATTAGAGGACTATCAAAATGTAACAAAATTAGGCAAAATTAGACTACCCAAATGAACTTTTGAAATTTGGGAATCCAAAATTGGATTCACACCAAGTCTAAGATGTTAAAAACATAATTTAGCCTAAAATAGTTCTTGAAAATGTGGCTCAGTTATTGATTCAGAACTATTATGAAGAGTAGCATAAATGAAGTAACATACTTACTTGGGCAGAGACAGCTCCGGCAAGATGAGTTGGAAGGGCTTTGGGTTGAGTAATAAATTCTCCAATTAAATCAAGAAGGGATCCTGATAACACACTCCAGAAGAACACGTTTCCAACCAGAAAGTAGAAAACCATGTATTTACCAATATTTATATACATATTTGAATATGTAGGTAATGCAAATATTACATACGAATTTTAATAATGGACCTTTTTACAAATATAGGACAATTAACACTAAAATTAAGAATCTGGTGCATGTTTGGAAAAAAATTACAATCGGTGATAAGTCGTGCCACACACCATCAGTACAAAGAGATTGTCTTAGGTTGATACGACATTAAAATCATGTCAATATGACATTATTTCGTTCTAATTATGGTACACTCGTGTCATCTTAAAATGACTTCTTTATATTAAAGTAAGTGTCGTATGAACACTTTAACGCCTTGTATTGTAATTTGTACATAAGTTACATCAAATTTATATTTGAGGGTTGAATTGCCCCCCTATTCATAAAAAAGCCTCGATACCAAATACAAACACAACCTAACACCGAACATTTTACAGCATTATTTTCACCAAAATAGTTTCCTTTTATTCATTAAGAAACGACAAACAAATATCTAATTTATTACATGACCCGTGAACTCGACGATTATCTATCCAAATATCGAAATCTCAAAAATTCAATCAACCTGAATAAAAAGACAAAAGAGCTACAATATATAAACCCGTGACACACACCATCACATACCTATAATAAATACGAACGAACTTTAAGCACAAAATGCACGTCAACACATATATCAGTAACTCAAAATCTTGCACTATAAAGTTAGCCAGCTAGCAAAGAAACCCTTATTAGCATATCCTAGAACCAAACCCAGTAGAAGAAATAGCATCATCACCCAAAAGACTCTGCAATATGTAATTAAAGAGACACGATCATATGAAAGTCACACTTGTTTTATTTGGTGCAAAGTTCACGTGCAACACCGAGCCTTGAGTTGGGGACGTCGAAGAGCACACGGTGGTTTTGTTGTTGCATATTGGCTATGACGTTGAGCACTGAATTGACGTTATCTGGAGCTGAAGCCATGGCCAAGCATGTGGTGCTTCCTGCAGAACTGTGTATGAGAATGTTGTCCTGTGGCAGGGTTACGTTCATGCCTGAGAACATGAATGTTATGGTGGGTGCAACTATCGGAACTGTGTAGCACGTGTCAAACCCTCCAAGGGATGTCACCGTTAGGTTTGCCTTTCCCCCCACTCGCCGCCGGAACTCGTCCCGGACTGCCACATACGCCGGCGCAACTAGCCGGCTGAACACCGTGCCTGCATGTTAACCAAAAATATAAAAAACTTGACCATCTTCTAACTTAGTGTTTTATAAATAAGTGTATTTCATTTTGTTTGTATTTTAGTTGAATAAGAAAAGGCAGAAGGCATTACCAGAATCAAAGATGGTGCCGGCTCCGGTGACCGGATTGAAAGCCAAGGCCTCCTGAGGAATGTCGACGACTTTCCGGCCGACCCTAATCGCAACCAAGTTGACATAATAGAGTGAAGATCTTCTAGGATTCTTGAGAAGAGGGGTGTACTTGATCCTAATGGGCTGGGCCACAGGCCCAAGTCTGAGTGAGCCAGAGAAGTTGAGTGATTTGAAGCTGGGCAAGCAGTAAGAGAAGGTGGACTGATAGAGGTTCTGGGTCTGGGACAGCAAAGACAATGGGCCTCGGCCCAAGCCCAAAAGCCCCTGAGGTGGTGTACTGGGCCCAGTAGTCTTTTGAACACATCCGAAGGTGTAGCCAGGAATAGGGTCAGTGGCTAGAGTAACCGTGTCTTGGACCAGGTTAGCACCAATGGTGGAGCTACCATAAGTGAAGTTGAAGCTGCAGGAGCTGCTTCCACAACTAGGGTTAGGCACCTGAAAACGTTCACATCACAAAGTCATATTATACAAGGGAATTATATTTTAATTATTTCATATATTTGAGTATTTTTAAGTTAAGAAAGTTTTCTTTTGAAGGAATGTTGAACTAAGATTGTTTTAATTATTTAAAAATATTACAGCATCTGATTAAAATAATATAAGAAGGTACAGTTTGAAAGATTGAATGTGCCTAGGAAAAGGTTGGTTTAGCAGAAAAAAACAAGTCTCGTGAACCCTTCCTTGTCTGGGGCACACAGATTTCAAAATTTTTAGAATTTGGGATGGGAAAAAAGGTCAGTAAGTCAACCCCACAAGCTAAGGGGCAAGGGAATTCATGTGTCTATGTGATGATGATAGCCAAGAGAATCATTAGACTCTCTTTCTCCTTCCAAGTCAAGAAAATGAAAAAGACTAATCACACAATATCAATCTGGGCCATGCATGCTTATGTTTTAATCAATTATCACAATTTTCTATGTGCTGTCCTCTACTCCAGTGGGAAAAGGGTCACGAGATTCTCAGAAAAAACACCATTAAGTAACACAGTGAAGGAAAAATACGAATATCACATGATGTTTGTTATAAATAAAGTAATTATTTCTAATAAAGTGAGTGTCCAAAAATCACTGCTCTGATTCTTTTAAAGTTTTTAATGATTCTTTTCTGTTAAACATCTCATCACCAATTCTTTTTTCCATTATTATACAAAGTTGATAGAAAACATAACGAGTTAATGAATCATCTCAACCAATACTAAGGTAAAATGAATTTAGATCTTGGTATGCTGTGTTTGTTTTTTCTCTTTGGTTAATTGTGCCTCAGAGACAAAGCACGAATGCTACATTTTAAATAGTGATAGCAATGGGGACCAACAATAAGCAGGACTACGTGTTAAATGCCTTTATGCATTGTTTATACTGACCCTTTGGAATATTATGTTAGAAACATTAGATTGCCATGGTTTTATAAGCAGTTTTGCAGAAAACAAAATAAAAAAGTCGTGTAGACTTAAAAAAACTGAGTAAATGGCAGTGTAATTTAGTGAAGAAAAGATGATGATGAGATTGAGAAAATGTGAAGGAGATGGTTAACCTGGTTGCATTGAGGAGCACCACAGTTAAGATTCTTGAAGGAGGTGGACTTTTCAGGAGAAAACAAGGTTGATGTGCAGCCATCACAGGCAGTGCAAGGAATCCAAGCGGCATCATTGCTGGTGTCCATGGCCAAGAGCAAGGTCTGAGGTGGGGTACCTATTTTGGCTCTCACAATGTAAGTTGGGCTCTGAATAATCTGTCTGCCTGAGGCAATAGGCACCACTGACCTCCCAGCCACCAAGCTAGCCAGAAACTGCAGCCTAGCTTGGTCCTTGGCCTGCAGTTGGAGGACACTCTCTTCCCATGAAAGTGCCTTTGATGGCCTGAATGGAGAACAAGGGCTGAACACATGGAAAACTTGCAGGGTTGAGCCATGCTCTTGTATGTCACATTTGGGGTTCTGCCCTTGGACTAGGGAGAAGACTAGGAACAGGAATAAAGGAGAGAGTGAGAGTGAGAATGAGAGTGTTCTTTCCATGGCTGTTGATTTGCTGGTGTGATTTTGCTGCTTTCGTTTGAGTCCTTTATATAGTAAAAAGGCAAAAAAAAAATGAACTTTTTTATTTTTTATTTTTGTATTTAAGGGAAAAGATTATTTTGGGGTTTGTAGGTGAGAAAGGGGTATGGGTCACTATACTTAGTGGTATTAACACTGTGAGTTATTTAGAAGTAAGTGGGAGATAACAGAGTGTACTCCATTTGGTTTTGTAGCCTACTCTGCTTATTTCCTGTATCACAATTTCAATATGGAAAATACACATCTTTCACTATTTTTGACCTAAAGAAACCTTTTTTAACAACTCACTTGTAATTTTACATCAATTTTTTCATTTGGGCAAGAAAAGGGTAGGTTAAGGAAGAAAAGCTTTTGGCTACAACGCTTTTCAATGATGCAGAATTATTAGGGTTCATCCATTTGGGACAAATCATGTAGCTATGAGAAATAAATGTTCAATAATAGTGTGATTTTGCAGCTGTGGGGATGCTACTGTGGTAGAATGTAAAACAAATAAAGGCATGCATAATTGAAAAGTTATGGGTTGAGGAAAGGTGTTGTCTTTCACAAGCCAAAGTGAAGTGCTATTTGGTTGTTAAGGCAAGAAAGGATGGTGCAAATGTGGGGGCATGGAAGTACCATAATTCACACTATCTAGATTGAACTTTGAACACTTTTTCAGAATATCCATTATTTATTTCTCCTCAAAATTTGAAATGCAAGAGAGAATGGTTTTCAAGATTTGGAACAAAGAACACAGATCGGGTAATTAATTTCTTGCAGAAAAGACAAAGCAAGCATAGCACCAAACCAGAAACCGTGATTTCAGCTGAATTGTTGTGCCATTTTACTCCATAGTTGGATTTACCTTTTCACGGGTTGTGTTGTATATTTTTTTCTTATCTAGTTATAACCAGGCATCATATTTGCTATGCTGCATCATTGTCACAAATCATTACACAAGCAAAGAAATCCATAGATTCAGCTTGGAACCTCTACAATAATAGTTTTCCCTCTTCACAAAATGTTTCATCTATGTATAATACGAAATCTTACGCAGTCAATTTCACTGTCTGTGACATAAACAAAGTTGTTTCGATCCAACTGACATATTCTCTGGTATGTGTAGGAATATACTATATATTAATGGGGCCATACATGATATTTGTTTAAACAAAAGAAAACCAAAGTGAAGGCTAGTTCCATGCACCTTAAATATGATAAAATGAATCAAAATCTCATGTAGTGGTGCCAAAATGATTAGACCCCAGAAGGGGATTTGCTGAAGAAAAGTGTAAGAGATTCTTAATTATCATTGCTTAGTGCTGATTGAGAAAAGTTATGTTTGTTTAAAGATAAAGCTGCAGTATTATTTGCAGTGTAGGACCCCCAGAAAATGGGAGTTGATGATACCAAAAAAATGATTTTCTCTGAGACCGACTTGTGTCGGTAGAATGAATTAAAATTGTGAGAGGTTACAGTGATAACCACATACAAACACCCACTAAGTGGACAAGTGACATGGTTGTTTCATAAGCTATAAAAATAAAATATTTGAAGTGTGATCTTGATCTGATTATTGAAGTTCAAGAACATGGAACATTTAATTTAAGGAAGAGATTAGATTCTCATTATTGTGGTCATT